GAAGAGAGCTCTCTCCTGAGAGGCTCAAATAACCTCAGCTCAGTGAGGTTAAGGCACACCTTGATATGATCATTATAATTATTAATGAGACATTAGAGACTCAATTATTAACAGGTATAAAATACTATATGACAGTAACAAAAAAAAGTTGTTAAAAATAACAAGAATAGAGTTTGAAAGGGGAGTAATTTGTAAAATATCCAAAAAGAAGAATCTGCTTACAGTTCTGTTTCATATGGGTGTTGAAAGATGTATCATCTCTTCATGTTGCTCTCAAAGTGCACCAGATTGATGCTTTTAACTTCAACATTTAAAAAAAAATCTTCCCTGGGGAGCATGCCCCCAGACCCCCTAGAGAAGGTTAGGTTCAATCATTTGTACGACCCTCTGAGGATGTTGTAAAAATTGAAAGGAAAAAGGTTCCCTTCCCCTGCTGTAAATAATAATAAAAATCCTTGATTTATAACTTAACATCTCTGTCTCCTATTGATCTGAGTATATTATAAAGAACAGTTAATTGAAGCATTATAGCACAGGCCTTTGTCAGATGGTTTATTACGCTGTTTCTTTCTGCTTTGAATAGTTCTTTCTTTTTTCACCATACCTGTGTTTGCATCCCTGATATATATATCTATGGATGTTAAGAGATGTACAGCAGTTTTTGTCTTAACACTCATTACTCTTTATTTCTCCCATCACAGACCCAGAGCGCTGGACCAACATTCCTTTGCTAGTGAAAATCTTTAAATTGATCATCAATGAGCTGTCGACGGTCGTGGAGGCAAACTCCAGCAGGACGAACGCAGCCGACTGGAGTCAAGGTAAATACAAATACTACTAATGCTTTGACAAGACACACTATTGAGGAGATCAAACCTCTATGCCTTTTTCCTGTAATAAATGATTGAGGGGAAGTGATACAATCAGGAATTTCAAACAATAGGCCAATCTTAATGTCAGGACACTTTTAAAGACTCCACTTGATTGCACCCTCTTTTTTATCTTTTTTTACATTGTATTTTTATATTCAATAGGCAAAAGAGCAACACATATGGAATAAACTGGAATAATTCCTAAATAACATTTAGTGAATTTTGACTTTCTGTTTCAGTTCAACTTTTGATACACTTAGTTGCAGTGGTTTTTGGCACACTTAGCAGGTGACGCCTTGCTTACAGATGTCAGAGCTGTGTATTAACCTGTACACTAAAGAGTAGGACAGCAGACATATTTATCTCCAGCTGTTTGCCTCAGATTCCAGTGGTATGTGGGAGGAAGATGAAGAGGGCGACGATGATGATGATGAGGATGAAGGGGTGGCAGGGCAGCTGCTTTCTGATCTCATCGCCTCCAACAAATACGGTACGAGTAACTCAGCAGCTCCTCAAATATTCCGTATCTCGTCTTCAATTTCGGTTCTGATTCATTCTGTTACCTGGGAACTTTGATTCAGATCACTAAGTTTCAGTGGCTGGTTTGTTCCTGTTTTACAGATGATGATTATTACGAGGATGATGATGAGGATGATCCAGATGCCTTAAAGGACCCCATATATCAGATTGATTTGCAGGTACGCAGACTCTTAATCTTTTGGTTCCACGAATGAACAAATAACCCCATGCTGGTCAGTCACTTTGAGCAGTGGATGTTATTTTCAGTCTGTCCTGTGCATTAGGTTTAAAATGAGGCTTATTGTGGAACATTAAGGTCTTTTGAACTTCGCTCTAAATGCATTCTGGGAAGATCCGACCCTTAAATAGTTGCAGCCATCGACACCATGGATGTATAATAAGAACTGGATACAGCGTGGGAGGCGGGGCCTCGTTCATTCCTATGAGAGTTGCTCATTGGCGCATGAAGACAAAATGGCCCAACTTTTGAGAGAGCGAAACGTCACGTATTCATATAATCATATAATCCGTTCTTATTGTGCATCCATGGGTAAAGGTAAAACTCATGTAGTACTGAACACGTCACATGAACATTACATTTAGCTGACGCTCCAAAGCAACTTACAATTACCAATTACAGGGACATTCTCCCTGGAGTAACTAATTGCCTTACTCAAGGGCACACTAGTGGTGGTGTTCCAGGCGGAATTTGAACTCACAACCTTCCGATCTTCAGCCCACCTCACTATCATTAGACCACCACTACTATGAACGTGCCGGGCGGCGCGGTCCTGTGGGTTAGATGCGCGTTCATAATGGGTAGTTTATTTAGTTTAAAAAAAAGTTACATCTCTTTTCCCATGTTAGTCAATGGAAAAAAATATTTCAGGGCCCAGCGACTGATACGGAAGTGTAGTACCGCCGTTTGGCCACAACTAATATTTTCCTCAGAGTCCGGCACTTCCTGGGGGCTTGGTCGGCAACAGCAACCCAATGCCAGTTCCACCCTAACCCCTAGATTCCACCGAGTGCGTCGCGTTACGTCCGCGTCGCGTTACGTCTGCGTCGAGTTACGTATGCGCCGCGGCGCTCGCACAGATCGCGGCCACTCTAGTCAATGGGTGCTATTCCACCAGACGCGCCACGTTACGGCTCAGAAGCGTCTCGGCGCTTGGCTCCGCTCAAAATAGGATTCAAGTCTATTTTTCGACGCGAGGCGTTGCAGAGGCACCGGGCAGGAAGTGGACCGGTCGGAGCATCCGGCCCATCCCCAAAATAAACTAATTTTGCCGACCCTATCCCTCCGTAGTCTTTCAAGTAGGAGGAGAAATGCCAGCGTTCTCCTCCGGTTTCATTATGATGATGGATGCATTTTTTTACCACTAAAATACAGACAACACATCTTTGATTCATGTCGTTTATAACTGGGATATTACAATTATTATTATCTTTGTCTGTACAAAGTGGCCTGTCCAGGAAATATGCCCAAATCAACAAAAACTGCGAGCCAGCAGGCAAGACGCTCCGCTTCTGAAATGCTTCTGAAACGCGCCCGGTAGGGTATGACGCCGGAGGAGGCCAGACCAAAACCGCGGCGCAGACGTGACGCAGACGGACCCGGTGGAATCGAGGGGTTAAGCTTAGACCCTCACAGGCTTCATCAAAGTTCAATCACCAGGGCTTGAAATGGTATATAATAAAGGGAAAAGGACACACATTATTGTGACATTAAACATCTGGAAACAACACCTCTCAATTAAGAAAAAAAAAAAAAAGGAAGCCACACCACCAGTTTATATTTAACAATAAGCACTGTAGAACTTTTTGATTTTGCATCTTATTGTCAATATCTTACACAGATCTTCACAACACCAAGTCTTGCTTTTTAGAGAGGACAACAGACAAACTTATTTCTTTCTTTTAAGTCTTGCATAATATAGTGTTTTTTGTTGTTGTTGCAATATGCCTAGTGTCATGTCATGTAACAACATTCTACTTTATAAAGAAATAAGTGATAAAGTCCAGCATTTAATAGTAGCTAATTTATTTTTATAAACTTGAAAGCGTTCCTAAAGCAGCATGTGACCATGACCAATATTACCTGACCCCTAAGGCTTCTCTACAGGAACGGTGACAGAAAGCCCAAACGGTGTGAAGATTGGTATTGGTTTTCTGCCTTAATGGTAAAGCAGATTAAGATGCTCCAATTATACAGGGGGCTAGCCTGGTCGGATTAGTCCTTAAGGATAAAGCATGCAATTTGTACAACTGATGAATAATTGTTACTTGATTTTCCTGCATTGTCTTTTAGGGATGGGAACGATTAATCGAATATTCGAATATTCAAAATTATTCAGGTATCGAATAATTATTAATGTATTCAAATATGAGTTATGAATATTTTTATAATTTTTTTTGTTTTTGTTTTTGAGAGTGATGCCTAAGTTGATTACATATTATCAAATTGAATAATTCAATATATATATATATTAGGGCTGTGCAATTTAATCGATCCTGCGATATATATCGATATTTTGTTTCCCGAGAAAGTATCGATATTTCAGCCGCGGGTATCGATACATTAACTCCCATTCAAATCCCCCGTGTTCCGCCTGGCACTCTGCTCGCTGCCCATCCCCCCCCGTTCGCTTTGCATGAAGAGCGGTTACGTCAGCCAGCCGAGCCGCTAGTGTCGCTGTAGAGCATTTCTAGATACACAGACGCCGGTATCTTCTTGTCGCAGTGAGTGCGAAGCGGTTCAGGAGAATGGCGGCAAACATTAACCACACTGGAGAGGGTCTTCTCTACCGCCGGAGATATCGGCCCAATCCCAAACCACTCCCTCGACGGAGTGAACTCCGTCTGTAGCCACACTCGCAGCTAAACGAGGCTCCCTCCTGTCAGATGGAGGGAGTAAATACAGCAGCAAGCTTTGGGACGGCCTCCCCTCTCTCCGGCAGAAACAGGAAATGCCGTAACTGTATGTAACAACGGTTTCAAATCANGGACAGACCACCTTATTTGCAGATTCTTGAAATTGTAATTTAATTTGTAATTGATTGTGGATTTTGTATCCAGTTTTCACTTTATGTATCTTTATACAATGTTTACTACTTTGCTTATGAGGACAGACAGCCTTATTTACAGATTCTTGAAATTGAATTGTAATTTCATTTGTAAATAGTTACATTCATGTGGATTTATCCAGTTTGCACATTTGTATGCATGCACTTATAGGTGCATTTGTTGTTGTTGAAGGCCTGGCTGTTACAGTCTTTATTTACACTATTTTGTTGTAGGCCTACTGGCCTAGATGTTTATGCAGTTTTAAAGCACCTTGGCTTTGTTCTGAATGCACTTTGTTGTAGTTATCCTACAGAGAAAAGAAAATGCACTTGACTTGGAATTAATGTACTGTATGCATTCAAAAGTGCTGAATAAATGTTTTATGGACCCATAATAGTGATTATTATTTAAGTTAAGTTTTGCCATAATCATTTATTTTTCCATAATCAGGCAGCTGAACAGCATTGGTAAAAAATGTATATATATATATATATATTTCTATTAATCATTTTCGGCCTTTCGGCATTCGGTTTTCGGCCAACTGTTTCCTATTTTCGGTATAGGTTTCGGCCAAGAATTTCCCATTCGGTGCACCCCTAATAATTTACAGAATGTTGTAGCTCTTAACTGAAAGTTTGAGCAGTTATGGTAACTTAGGAGTTTATTCTCTCAGAGTAGAGCTTTTTTCTATATGTTTTGCACTTCAAATAAATAATTACTTGGCTGTTGAACAATAGATTTTCATATAAATCTAATTTGTTATGATCCAGAAATCCCCCTCTTCTTTCACCACCACCCCTCAGTGTAGCGGGCTCTCTCTCTGCAGTGAAACAGTTGGCCAACTCCACTGACTTTATGCCACAATGTATGCCAGTAATTAGGAGCCTCTGCATCCCTTTTAAGGGATAGTCCAGTTATTTCCCAATGTCCCCCCCACTGCAGGTTTCACTTTCATCTGTTTTCTGTCATTAATCAAAAACACTGACACTATACTGCTGTTTTACAAAAACAAACTGGAGTGACTTCAACATCTGACAGCAGGGTGTGTTTTGGGTGGTGAATGCCAGATGATTGTGTCATTATGAGGAACATCTGCCAGATCCATGTATCATCTCCCTTTCAGTTACACACACACACACACACACACACACACACACACACACACACACACACACACACACACACACACACACACACACACACACACACACAGCCCACAGCTGGTTTGTGTTAGAGAGGGGTCACATACTATTCACCTCCTCCACCCTGAAACAGCTCCACTTATGGGTGTTCCCTCCATTGTTTTGCTGCTTCTTGTCCATAAGCTCCAGGAATGACTAGAATCCTTCCTCTTGAGTGGAAACACTCTGAGAACAGAGACTGGGAAATTCCTTTGTTTTGCTTGAAAAGTTAGATCTTGTTTTGTTTTCTCCTCTATCTTTACACCCTTTTCTCATCTTGTTTCTCCCATTTTGCTTTTCCTCATTTGTCCAGAGCAGACTGTTGGGCTGTCCGGTGAAGCAAACCCGCCATGCGTGAATACAAGCTCGTGGTGTTAGGCTCTGGAGGTGTGGGCAAGTCCGCTCTGGTGAGTATTCCCTCCTGAACCCCTTCCTGCCCCCCTCCCACTCTAACACCTCTGCAGTGTGTTTCCTTTGGACTTAGCTGGGACGACAAAATCCTAATATTGCTTTTAAGTTGTTGGAGAAAACTTTTTTGTTAAATAATTTAGGGAATGTTTGACACAGGCTGCCACAACACCACATGTGAAACTGTCTGATCCTCTTTTTTAACCCTAAAAGTTTTGCTTTTCTTTTGTGGGTGGTTACATGCTTGTGTTTCCTAACAAATGTCTGCATTCCCGGAAAATGCTCAGTACAAAAAAAACGTAAAAATATCAGAATACCTTTTTTATATAGAGTTATAACTTGTTGAGTAATACTAACAACACAAGTAATGTAAATGAACTATTATAAGTAAAATAGTATAGATAAACAATATTTCTCATGGTATTAGGTATACAGTTATGCTCATTCTAGCCTTGCCAACATTATCATTAAGAACAATCTTAATTAACTTTTAAATATCCTGTTGCTGAGCTGACTTAGTCCAGGTGACTTAGTCCAGGTGTCGCAGTCGCGCTAATCTCTCTGAAACTGGCAGGCGGACATGTTTACACCTTCAGACATTATCAGGTGAACTCGGTGCGCCCTTATTGTAAACTCACCGTCAGGCGCAGTGCCTAATGTCATGTGTTTCTCTATAAGATTAGTCAGAGATGTGCTGAACTGAGTTGAACTTTGTCTTCCGACTGGCAACCTCACAAACATCCTCTTCCTCAGTGCCTGGCCGTGTTGTTGTGACAGCCCAGCGGGAACACATTTGCCACTCTGGATATATTGCTGCTGTGGCCCGGGAGGTCACATTGATCTGACGTTGTCTTCCTCTGTGTCTTCTCTTACAGACAGTTCAGTTTGTACAGGGAATCTTTGTGGAAAAATATGACCCTACAATAGAAGACTCGTACAGAAAGGTGAGTGTCCCTTGAGGGGGGG